CGGGGCCGGGCGCGGCGGTCGCGGCTCCTCCTGCGCACGGGGGCGGTTACGTGTCCCGGCAGCGCTGCGGCCACGGGCGGTGCGTGACCGGGGACTCGCAACCACTTCCACCGAGCAGGGCCGCGTGGCAGCGTCGCTGCACGGCTACTTCTGCCCTCACAGGGGCGGCGACGCCCAGCCACCAGCGCGCATTTTCTTTTCCTCAGTGGGGGGCTAAGATCCATCCAGTTCCGTTGCATCGGTGGCGGCTTCGGTGCAGACACAACTGCATCTCCTGCTTTTTTGGCGGGGGGAGGGCTGGCATATTTACTTGTGCCCCCAGCCTGGACAGTGGGTTTAAACAGGGGCAACGCATAGGGAGTGCACCCGGATGCCCTGCAAAAAGTGAGCAGTGTCAGCAGCGCCTGCGGGCGGTCACCACTCGCCACCCTCCGCCGGCAGCGTCTGTGGGCGGTCCGGGATCGCCGCCACCGGCAGCATCTGCAGGTGGTCGCCGACCCGTGGTCGGTGCTGGCCACCCCCGCCCCTCTCCCCCCAGCACGGGCGACACCTGCAGGAGCTCCCGCTTACCGCCGCCCCCCCCCCCCCCCCCCGCCACCGGGGGGCACCGTCCTTCACGGGTTAAAAATAACCTGAAACCAATGGCTGCAGAAGAGCTTTGGCCGGTGCCCCCGCAGATGGAGAAGAACCGGAATCGAGGGGAATATTTGGTTTTGGCTTCAGACCTGCATGTACTTCAAGGCTTGATGACTTGTTACACAGATTATACACACAGCTAAAGACTGACCTGGATTTTGTTCTAGTTATTTCAGGTTAAATCATATGATAAAAACAAAGAATGGCGACATATTTATCAAAACTGGTGGTGGATGATGTTATTGACAATGCAGCCAATACTAGAGTGGTGAATGCAGTACTTTTTAAAAGGTTTGGACCAGTGATTCCCAACAAGGGTTCTGTGAGGTCCTCTTAGGGGAGAATATTGCCACACAATTTTACCAATGTTAAATATTCACAAGATAAGCTGAGAACTTCAAATAGGAAGCCATACTGTCAGAAACAATCTGACCTGTTGGGGTCTTTCTAGGTTCTTTGCAACACAATAATTTCTCTATTACTTTTCTATAGCCAAAAAACAAGTAAGAGCTTCATTTTCCAAGAAGCGCTGCAAGTCTGATAAAGTTAAGAACTGGTTTAGACGTAACTGAATTTAGGATTAAAATAGGTTAATTTAGGCTAAAACATGCTGTGAGGGTGGTCTCCCAGGGTCACCCCCCCTCCACCCTGCACTGTTAGCACCACTGTCCGCCGGATAGTGCTTAGGGATCATTAAAGCACAATTAACTGTTACATGGAATGTGAAATACAAATGCAGGCAGCTCCATGTCCTAAAATCAAAGTTTCACTTAAACGTAGATGACTCAGTGTCTTAAAATCAAAGTCTAACTTTATTAGTACTAGTATTATCTTAGCAGTTTCTATATTCAGAGAGAGAAAAACATTCAGCACAATAATCTCACCCAATCCTATGTGCTACTTTATTTAACAGAAAAGACAGCCTGGAAGCAATGGGAACGTCGTGGGCTGGGACGGTCCAGACAGGCGTTGAAGGCTGGATTTATGATGACCACGATGAACTTCCTTGCTCCACCTTCTTATGTTTTTCTTCAGCTTCATTCCTTTGATGACTTTTTGCTTTCAGATTAGTCTCCATGAAGTTAGCATACTGTCCATCTTTTATCCTGTCAGGATATTCCTTTGTCTAACAGACCCATTACAAGCACACCTCTTAATCTGGCCTTTTTCTGGTGTCTTATTTTGGACATTGTCCATTGGTCTCCCTTATTACCTTTCATTAATATATCCAATCTTTTCATCCCTCTGATTCAGCTGGTTAGTGCCAAGTTCAGTTAACGAGCTGGTAACAAGGCCACTGCTATGTTATATTAAAAGAACTTATCATGGTGATGAAAAAGAAAAGACATTATATAATGAGCACCTGGGAGTTCTATAAAAACAACTCAAAGCCAGCTAATAATAAAAACCAAAAAATTAATAAGGACAAAATTTAAACAATGATTAAATAAGGCTAAATATAAACAATACTATAAGCAGTTACAACTTCAAAGCATTAAACACAACAAGCTACCCTAACACCACCACCCCTGTTGCTTGGGCAGTACCTGAGATGCACAACATCCAGGGATCTCCTTGCTGTGTGAGCACCACTAGTGGTGTGGGGGCTGTACAGGCAGCACACAGCCCCTGCTCCCCACCTCACAGACTGCATGGATAACATGAAGCCTCCATCCCAGCCAGGTGGGCAGCACAGGTAGTGTGCAGGCTTCTGGAATGGGCCAGCATGTGTCCTCCAAGCCCCTGCAGTAGCCTTTCCCACTGTGGAGGGAGGCACAGAGCAGAGGGCTTGGGGAAGCAGTGCACCACTGGTGCTGCCTATGTAGCAGTGGGAGAAGTAGATACAGAGGCCAAGTGGACACATGTGGCCTATGAGATGCCAAATGGACAATCCTAGCTTAAAATAACACAAGTGAATCTCTTCCCTTGATAGTTTTTAAATTACTCCTGTCCGTGCAAGTATTTATAAGCCCCTTTGATGAATCACGTAGTTATTTCTATACAACGACTGACTTAACAGTGCTGACACACATAACAATTGAACCATTCCCAAATGTCATTGATTGGGAGCATTGTCCAAAGTGCTGTGGCTTTGACATCAGGGGGTGGGAATGAGCACCCACCCCAGCATGCCTCCTAGTAGGCAAGACAGCAGGAATGCTTGCACCCATGTTTTGGAAGTCTGAGGAGAGTGACCTGTGGCTGGGTGCATTAACTACTCTGCTTTCTCAACAAAAGTTCAGTAAATCAGTCAACTGAAGCTTGTAGTGTACTTGCTTGACTCAGGAGAAAGGGTGGTGCCTAGACCCACCACATGTTTTGGCTCCCAATGTCTTGGGAGGCATGATGAAGGGCTGTAGATAAATAGGGAGTAAGGACACTGCTGGTTGTTAGAAAAGTAGCTTTTATTGAACAAGCAGGGCCAGGAAGCATGTTAACAAAAGCTGCCAACAAAAGGGGAAAAAAAAGAGGTCATTACTGGGCATGTCTATACAAAACGCTGTACTGCACAGTAACCTACTAAGCAGTAAGGTGTCACCATGGAACTGTGTGCAGCAACTACTGCACAGTAAATAGGCTAATGTGTGGTTTTCTACTACCTGTAAATACAGGTAGTAGATTAACTGCATTAGCTACTGCGCAGTACGGCTCATGTTGGCAGCTGACTGGAAGCAATTTGCTGCAGGTCAGCCCAGGCAGCAGGGGGTGGGAGAACTGTTCCCTCCCCAGCAGCTGTTTCCCAGCCCTGTCCTCCAATCTGCTGATCCAGCGCATGAGGCTAGAAAACAGCTGCCCCAGAGGTGGGACGGCTTCCCCAGACCTGTAGAGCTCAAGCCTGACCCCAGGGCTGGCACCCCAAGGGGCCTGAAGCTCTCCCTGGCTGCTGTAAGGGGGCAGGGCAGAGCAGGAGTAGCCCTCCACTGAATTGCTCCTACTGGGAGTAAATTTGCTCCTGACAGGCACATATGTCAGTGCACTCCCAGGGAAAGCTTACAGAGCATTACTAGCTCATGTTGACATGCCCACTGTGTACAAGAACAGCCAGATGCAGCAGTTGGGGAAGGGGAGAGGAAGGCAGAGGAATAATGTAATGTGAGATGCAGAGAGCAGTGTTTCTGAACCTTTTTTTGTACTAGGACCCATTTGTAAACATTGATGGCCAATCCTGACCCAGGGCCCCTCACTCCTGACCCGCTGCCCCCCACCCTCAGGCCCCAGCCCCTCAGTGTGTGGGGCAGGGAGAGCTCCAAGCAGCCTCTTGTAAGTTGAAACTCTGATAGCCTGCCAGGGAAAAGCCATGGTTTCCCATGTTTTTCTCCTTTAAAGGACAACCCATTTTTAAAGTCTGTTGATTTATTTTTAAAATTTGTTCATGACCCTTTCATATATTCTTGTGACCCACTGTTGAGTCATGACCTATGGGTTGAGAAACACTGGCATACAGAACTGACCAGACCTGTGTCACAGAACATTTGGTGTCCAGAACTGGTTTAGACTGAACCAGTTCAAAACAGTATTTGATTTTCCAGGTCCATTTTTTTACATTATACATTTTAAACCATTCCTAGTACTTTTACACCAGTTTAAGAGGCTTGTGTGTTTGTCCACTTCAGATTTAAACTACATTTAACCTGTTCTAAGTGTTATGGATGTCCATGCCAGTAGTTCTCAGTCTTTTTAGACTCAAGACACCCTCAGAAAATGCTAGCTCTTAGCTTTCATGTTTTTTGACTTTGCAACTGCTGTTGCAAAGAATTTAGAAACAGAACAGTATTTTTAACATTATGGATTCCTATTTAATATCTCTAGGTTTATCTTGTGAATCGTTTGCATACCTAATAGTGCTAATGTGCGGCACCTTTGAAAGGATCTCAAGCACTAGGGTGCCATGGTACCCTAGTTGAGAAGCCCCGGTCCATGCCAGACAGTCCTGGATAATTTACTCAGCCCAAGACAAAAAACAAAAAAAAAAACCCTCAAAAAACTCTGAAGACAGGTTGTTCCTAAAGAATGTAGTTTTCAGACACAGCAGTGGTAAACACCCTTAAATATTTCTATTTTTTTCAGTGGAACTTTTTCAAGAATAACTTAGGTCTTTCCTCCTGTTTGGAAGTTTTATGCTAGTCACTTTTTTTATAACGGGGCCTGGAAAGTTACAGAAGAAACCCAAACTTGCATGTAAGCACAAAGACTAGACTGCATGTTTAAAAACAAGCAGCTTCCAGCAATGCAAAATCTGAATCTCTGTAGTTTCTTACAGGGTCTTACAGCTACATACAAGAATATCAAATTATCTATTTATTGGCCCTTAGCAATAACAGGCTGGAGCCGGCTGGTGTCACCCTATTCCTGTCTTTTTTGATCAGGAATATCCAGATAAAGCTGCTATGGGTATTACACTGCACTGATGCACTTCCTATCAATACTAGGCCATACCTGTCCTGAGAACGGGCTCACTGCTTTCCATGCTTTTGAGCAGAACCAGGCCTGAATAGGACAGGTGGCTCTGCACCTCGGAAGACAGTTTTGGACGAGGGTGACATCACAAAGGCCTCAGGCACTCCCAGCGTGGGCTGCCTGTGGAGGCAGGACCTGCCGGGCCACAAGCTGCTCACTCCCTTGCTCCTGGGGCAGTCAGCAGCACCGGCACACTACTCATCACTCAGAGCCTCCCTGAGGATGCCCACAAACCTGCTGATTTCCCCCCCAGTGCACCTGGCAGGTGAGTCCCCCAGCATAGGCAGAGGGAGAAAAAATTATTTGGAGGTGCTGAGTGCTGGTTCATGTGCATGCACACCCCCCCCGCCCCCCCAGTAAATCTGTGGGGGAAGGAGTGGGGGGGGAGGGAAAAGGGCCTGGAAGGGGCAGATCAAAGCCCCCGTGGTGAGGGTAGTGAGCCAAATGCAGGAGCAGGGGCTGGGTGAGTGGGACACCGGCTGAGCCACGTGGTGGGACAATTGGAGCCCGGATGGCTTGTCTAGGGGCACTGGGGGCTCCCGCCACTGTGCGCACCCCGAGGGAGGCCCAGGGGGACATGCCCCCCCATATGTGCACAGGGCAGAGGCAGTTGGCACTGTGCGCTGGGCTCTGCACACCACTGCAGCTGCCCCAGGAGCAGCGGGACACCATGTGCCCACTGCTGCTGGGCTGTGCCGCGCCTCCTTGCCTGCTCGGCAGCAGGACATATATGGCATCAGGTGGCTCTAAAGCCCCGGGTAATTATTTTGGGTGGACAGCCGCTTACTGTTTTGACAAGCCATTGAAAGCCACATGACAGGCAGCCCAGGGCAGATAAATATTAATAAATATTAATTTTCTAAAATTTTTAGCAGCCCCATAGGCCAGATAGAATGGCCTGGCGGGCCACATCCAGCCGCATCTTGCCCACCCCTGCTCTAGAGGCAGAGAGCAAAGCCCAGTGCGCAGTGGTGCCCCATGCACAGGTGTGTGGGGGGGGGGCAGGAAACGACACATGCCCTCCGGGCTTCCTCCAGGTGCGCAGTGGCAGGAGTCCCCCTGTGTTGCTGGACGAATCGCCCAGGCTCCGACTGCCCACCAGCCGGCCGTCAGGTCTCCACTCACCCAGCCCCCGCTCCTGCCTATGCCGCGCTCCCTCCCTCGCTGCTGGGGCCTCGATCTGCACCGCCCCCTTCCCCTAATAGGCAGCGACTTGCCTGCTGTGCTGGGCAGCCAGTGATCCACACGCGGGGCTTCGCTCCTGGCTGCCTGCGCCCTCCTCCCTACCCCTGCTGCCGCCGGGCTGCCTTGAGGCCCTACCTGCGCCCCGCCTCCGGGGGACTGAGCCCCGCCAGCCCCGCTCTTCCATGGTCCATGCCCCCCCAGCCCCGCACGCCGGGTGGCGGGAGCGGCGCCGCAGCTGTGTCGGCTCCTGGCTCTGCCGCGGCTCACGCCCCCTGGGATCCCACGCAGCAAAGGCTCTCGGCCCATCCCGCCCGAGCCTGCGGGCAGGACAGCACAGCCCCGGAGCCGCAGTAACGCCCCGCCCCCGGTGACGTAGTGCGCAGAGCGGAGCCGCTCAGGGCCTGCCAGCGCCAGGCCCTGCTTCAGGGCTGGAGTGGCCGCGGGACGAGGCCGGGGCCGTGCTACCAACGCAGCGCTCCCGTCATGGGGCTGAATAGGACGCTGCGGCGGCTCCTGCAGCTGGTGCCCGGGAAGCGACGCTTCGGCATGTACCGCTTCCTGCCGTTTTTCTTCTTGCTTGGCGGCGCCGTGGAGTGGACCATGATCCATTGGCGCGCCGGCCGCGAGACCTTCTGTGAGTGGCCGAGCCCCGCTCCCGCTGGCCCGGGGCTTGGCGGGCGGCGCGGCCTGCCGCACTCGGCTCTGCGGGAGCCTGAATCCCGGGCCTAGCCTGGGCGGGGCGGGGCGACCGAAGCGTTGCTTGCCGGTAGGGCCCTTCTGCTCCGACCCCGTTAGCACCTAGCGCGGGGCCACACAGGGAGCTCTGGGGAGCTGTCGCAGCCGGTCAGCCTCTCCCGCACCACGGCTGACCGGCCTCCCTGCGCGGCTCAGGGCCGAGCCGCAGGTCAGCTCCGGGTCTGTTTTTCCTGCCACTGCCGCTCCTCGTAGCCAGGGCGGGCTGGTCTGGAGCGGCCGCTGCAGGGACCCGACCCCACTTCCGGAGCGGGCCAGGGCCCGAGGAGGAGCTGGAGCTGCTGCCTGGCTTCAGCGGCGGCGGTCCGGGTGCGGAGGCAGCTCCTTGCAGCGGCCACCGTTGCTGGCCCGGCCCCCCGGAGACTCACCGAGACCCGCAGGGAGGGGGCTCAGGTGAGCGCACAGCCTCAGTCCCAGCCCACCCCGTGCGGGGTTGGCGTCGAGGTCGCTGCAGCGCCCGCTCGGGACCCGCCGGCCCCGGCCACGATGGTAGTGGGAGAAAGCGAGACCTAAAGCCCGCACCAGGGCTGCTCTGGCTCGCCCTTGCCGCCGCCCCCAGCGCCACCCCCGGGGCCCCCACCCCCATTGCGGGCAGGGAGGAACCGAGCCGCACTAGTTTGCCCTACAGCTGGGGGCAGGCAGGGCTGCAGGGACCCACCCCCTGCACCAGCCAGGGCAGGGGCTGGGACTAGGGCTGCCAGGAAGATTTCTTTTTATATAGTTTCATTTTTTTTTTTTTTTAATGATCAGAGTCTACAAGTCTACAAGAAATTAGAGTGAAAGACTGTGAAGTTAGTATAGCTTTGTTGTTGGAAGATAGTTTACTGATATTCTTTCCCCCAGATCCTCAGAAAAATAATTATAAAAATCTCTTCCTGGCAGATGATGTTTATCGTAGGAAACAGTCGGAGAGACAGTATAAACGCAGGATGGAAGAAACATGAATTTAGCGTGGAACCATTTAATCAGGAGCACCACGGACTCTTGAATCCTGTAAATCACAGTCCAGAGAAAAGTCAAAACGGCAGCAAAGGCATTCACAAGCCTGCCTTTCTGAAAGTTGAACTATAATTTATTTGTTATTATGTCTAGTTTAGGTTTTCTTTTAAGATACTTTTAGAGTGTGTTCTTCCACCACCCACTTCACCCCTTTTGAGGCAGTCTTACTGGAGAGATGATTCTTTGCATTTATGCCACTAAACCTGCTTAATGTTTGTGCAGTTGATTCTGTTAAATAAACTAAAGTTAGCAAATTGAAACATGGCTGTATTTTTTGTGTCCCAAGACATACAGCTGGAAGGGACTTAAGGAGGTCATCTAGTGTAGGGGTTTTCAACCTTTTTTTAATGAGTGTAAAAAGCCCCCTTTTTAATACGTGTACTCTGGGGGGGAGGGGGTAGCGAGCAGCCAGCCGCAGGGGAGGGGGGGAGCTGAGCGATGCAGCATCTGTGCAGCCCTGCTCTTGCCCCGCCCACCCCCATGTACCCCTGGGACCTTTCAGAGTACCCCCAGAGGTACGCATACGCTGGTTGACAACCCTTAATCTAGTGCAGTGGTCCTCAACCTTTTTCCTACCAGGACCCATTTGCAAAGATCCATGGCCTGTCGTGACACATCTCCCTGGCCCTTCAGATGCCCAACCCCCACTTCCCTGCCCACCCAGGCCAAGCTGCTCACTCCTGACCTGCAGGCTCCTGCCCTACCCCAGCCCTGCCGGAGGGGCCCCCAGTTTCCCCTGTCCCACTTGGGCGGAAGCGTGGTGGCTGCAGCAGCTCCAGCGCATGGTGGCAGGGGAGCAAGTCCAGCACTGGCATCCCAGGGGAGGCACACCTAGGCTAAGGGTTAGTGAGGAACTAGTTAGGGAACTTCTGGAAGGACTGGATGTATTCAATCAGCTGGTCTGGCCGATCTCCACCCCAGAGTACTGAGGGAATTAGCTGAGGTCATTGCAGGACCCCTGGCATGGCTGTACGAGCACTTGTGGTGCTCTGGTGTGGTGTCAGAGGACTGGAAGAGGGCCAATGTGGTTCCCATCTTCAAAAAGGGGAAGAAGGAGGACCCGGGAAACTATA